ATAACGGGGACTGTGACATTTCATGTCTTGTTGTTTTATGTGATAATCCCTTGGTTCTGACAAGAAATTACTACGACTGGTCTATTTTACTGTACCCTTTAACAGAAATAACACGTTTTCATGTGATAACGAAAGCGTGACTGTGTATGCTGCTGACCAATGAGAAAGCAGCTCTTGATCTGACATGTGCTATGTATACCTGATGCATATAATTCTTTATGGAAGCATATGTCTACTTTTGCTTTTCGAAATTGTTCCAAAATGTCCATGAATAATTAATAGAAATTAATACACTACCGAAACTATCAGTTACCGGTAAGATAACTCTGTGTTGGATCTAGATTTTAAAACAATATTTGTAAAACAATTTATACAGAACCAAATCTATTTTGAAAGTTGTAATCAGTGGTAATATGTTGCAAGAATACACCACTCCCATTTAGTGCAAAGTTGGAGAAACTACTAAATTCTGGAAATGTATTTTTATAAGCAGTATTATTTTGGATTCTACAATTTTATACAAGTCTGTTTTATTTTTTGTTTTGTAGGTGTTATGCTCGCTATTTGTGATATTAATGAGTATAGAAAATGTATGAAAAATTTGCAAGTAAGTTTTATTTATATATTCATATATATTGCGTAAATTGTTGCTGCCGGAAAATACTTAAAGGCTAAACGACGAAAGTCACTTCGACTCTCTAAAAATACCATGTTACTTTTAATAGCTTTCTTATAACCCCTCAATACATTTGAGCTTTTATATTTAAGGAAATTCTAGTCGAATTGTGTGTCTTCTTCAAGCAATATTTGGTCATGCCATTTCTTGTACTGGGTATCTTAAGTTGTGGTTTATGCATCACCTTATCCAAATTTCACAGAATCCATTGGTATCGTCACTTTTCGATGCTCTTCATGCACTCTGTAATCTACTAGTTGTGCAGCCTGAAAATCTCAAACAAGTATGCACTGGCGAACAACTGGTAAGTGTCAACATTTTCTTAACCTTTTATATGAAATATAGTTTCTACTCTATAATATATTACATCACAGCTTTGTATGAGCTATCAAAAACCTCATACTGATCATATGGACAATTCATGAGAAATTTATCAGAATATTTAACAGAATCCTGCAATCATATTTAGAGGTCCTAAAATAAAGTAGCCCTGATGTCATTACAACAATATATGTTACAATATACGTTTGATTTTTGTGCGTACTTACCATGACGACAAATTTTGATTTTACTGATTTTATCATTTTTCATCGTCGTCACAATAAACAGTGCGAGGTGTACAGTACAGTGGGAATACAACGTTAACTTTTCAACTCTTTAACTACCTCAAGGCTGTTACACCCAAATAATTGAAATACCAAGGTGTTCTTTAAAGTATTAACTAGAATAGAAAGACTGAGTATAGACCCTAATATGTAATCACTTCAGCTAGCAGCATAGAAGTAAAATAGATGAAGCAGTTAGTATTTATGCATATCATTATGCAGCATTGTTCCTATTCTTCTAAATATGTTTTTTTTTTCTAAATTAATCATCTGTGATTATCACATTGTTTACTTTTCCATTCAAAATACTGTAAGGGTTGATTTGTTTGTCCTAATATAACACCATCATACCTTCGTCTATTGCAGGCTGGTATTGATAGGTCTGTCATGATGTCTTTCATTCAACTGAGAGCTGATTTCAAAACTGCCAGAATAGCGCAGCAGTTAAAGTGAATGAAGTTCGAAGGCAACATACAAAGGAAATGTACTGTGTATGTTACTTTTCACCTGGAGCGCTCAGGTGTGCTGGAAAACTGGTTTGAATATTGTGGATATCGGATTAGGATTGATTCCTGAAAAAATGATAAACATAGATTTATTAAATATTCTATAAACAAATAGAAACAGCAACATATACATTATTTATCTTTGTACATACTGCAGCAACCTTTCAAATACTGTGATATGGTTCAGTACAAATCACTGTGTCAATCTTTTAAAGTGAACTTTGTGTGAAATCACATGGAGCAGATTTGACATCAGCTTCGTGTGTAAATAACCTTTCCATCGTACGTGATGCTGAAACGTTGTTTGCAAACAAAGGTTACCCTGAAGCTTTACTCATGTGACTACATCTACACTCTAATGCTAAGATGTGATGATATTTGCTGAAAGGTTGGATTTTGACTTAAAGGAATGGAGTGTCAGTTCTGCGCAGATGATCTGGGATAATTAAGTAAGCCAAGGGGTTGATATGTCAATAGAGATGACCACTTCTAGCACGGATCAAGATTTATTTCATCATTATCTGTTCGCATATGACATTTTCAATCACATTTGCTCTTCCTAGAGTTATTATTATGATATTTCATGCTCGATTGTGATACCTTTACGCATTTTTATTACCTGAAAATATCGTGACAGTAAATAAGAGTAGTATGTATGAATATAAATGATCCATCTTAATAAGTACTATATGGATTGGAGTTAATTTGTATCAAGTACGGTCTCTTGTGTTTACCTATTAAAATAACCGCATGGCGACTTAATATCAAGGACGTTGAGCAATGTAATTTGCCCCAGTAATTTGCATAAAGTAGTATTTTCACACTGAAATGGTTGATATGATTGATGATAAAATGTTTAAAACATATCCTGTGTAGTAACACCGAAAGCTTTGTATAGTTTTCATCACTGAAAACGTGGCTAGTTCTTTTTTTGTTATAATAGGAATACTATTTTGAATATCGAGGTTGAATGCCTGCAAATTGGAAAGCACAAATAATGAAGGTGGTTACTGATTCTTCCATGGATGTAATAGAACTCGAATCATTCTTACGATTCGTTAAATGATGCCTTGTATTAACGAACATCACAAAATGTTGAGATGAACATATGATGAGCAGATGTGTTGTTTAAAAAATAGTGTTAACATATTTTTTATGACATGCACACTATCTTGATGTTTGTACATTCGTCATCTTGTATTTGCCAGGTCTGATTTTATACCGCCTTTAAGATGTACTATGTCACCTGTGGCGAATGTGATATTAGAATTAGTCTGGACATATGTACAGTATTGTTATAGTCTATGATTAATCTGCTGAAATTACCGATCATCAATGAACGTGTTCGTAATAAGTGCCAGTGCAACGGTCTTTAAGAGCATGCCCCTGGAGAGGCAGGGTACTACTACTACTATATATTAACAGTAAATACAATATTCATGCTTTCCCAGCTACTTCATTTACAACTGAAATGCATAAAATAAAGAAGGAGCCACGCATAACAAGAGCTTCTATGCATAATATAGATGAATATATTAATAATTCATTAAAACTAAACAACTAGAAATATATAACCACATTCCAAATACATTTTATGTGGAGATGTCCAACGTAGTTCACAGAATCTCATTTAGAGGTTTCTTTTCTTTTCCAGACAACATTATGTGGTGGTCATTTATGTTGCCTACCAGCTAGGTGGGACACTGGTGATAATTGTTTGTCGATGTGCGGAAATCATCTGACATTTGTATAGTGATAGGATATGTGTATATACATGGTTGTATCTTAACATTTGCTGTATTCTGTTCGCCTGGGGATTCGTATCTCTTAAGTTCGTTCACATGTATACAACCTTCGATAATTAAGAATAGTCTCTGTGTTCGTATGATTGCCCGAGGTGCTATGTCACGTATAACGTATGTGTCGTATAACTTATGCGGACGTCGTGGTTATTAATTAGGCATATATATGTACCTAATATCGTAAACTCCCCGTAAAGAGTGAACAATTGACATCCTGCGTTATGAGTAATTCATATTTATGGCACAATGCGACAGCTGTAATATTGGCATTGCTCTAAAAAAATCGTCTTTACTTCAAAGGTATATTGTTATTGTACTAGCTTTATCCAAACGAAAGTGCTGTTTATCACACAAAGTGCTCCTTTCGAACGTACTATAAAGAATCCGACAATATTGTCTTCCTTGTTGTTTTTATTTGCTTTTATCCCGTGTGTCCATGACTACTGTTCATTTTCTTTTCTTCTTGATTTCATATTTCAAAATAAGGATATGTAACTGTACAGGAGATCCTCATTTTGTTTATGCACGCGCGTTCCTATACTGTGCGTCACGAGCCATTTCATGTATATGTTCGAATGTGTGATATATTTACACAAGAGTAAATATGATGTGTACGGACCTAACTTATAGGGTTGATAATGAATGTGGAGGATGATTGGTCGGTGATTCGTTTTAAAAGTCAATGCCCTTGGTCTCACCATGTGTAGATGTTTTGAATATTACGGTCGGCGTGCGAAATGGTTTAAACACGGATTGTAAAAGTTATAATTGCATATATATCATCATATCGGCATCCAGCTTCGAACAATTATCACATTTTGTAGAATCGAATTCACGCCAAGATCGTGACCTAAGAGTTATAACTCAATTAGAGCAACCTCCCCGGTTAGTAAATGTTTTGTGCAATATCTATATAAACCCCAATCAAATATACTATGTATACTGCCCATTTTTGCAAAATAGCTTGAATGTGGCAAGTATTATGTACGCACAACAGTTACCTCCACTTTGACGTATACTGACTTCATGATAGGAACAAACTAATTCATTTATATATAGTTTTTTGTTTGTGATCATTGATTGCATAGAAGCAACGCGTAAGGTACACTACGTTCAACACTGGATGTCATGTGTGGTTATTGACACATACGGTAGAATGAGGGAAATGTTTGTTGCCTGTCTCAAGTTATTTTTATCCATATCAATCAAGTATACGACAGTATTATTTATAAAATGTTAAATTTTGAACATATCTTGTTCGTTCTTGTTATGTACTGTGCCTATTGCAAACAGTGTAGGTCGATTTCGAGCAGTTCAATTGGAAAGTATTTAGCCACTTGTTTTCCTACGAATTTGTACACATTTCGACAACATTCTTACTACTGTCGTTAGGCGACTTTAGCGTAACTACATGAAAGTCTAATACACCCATAACACAATTAGTATAGCAAAACTGTGTTCTGCAGTTCTAGCTATCAATTACTGGAGAGCTGAAGGTTACCGGCTTATATAGATATATATCATTGGTATTAAGATTATCTTAGAGCAGGTCGGTAATTATCTCGACCTGAACGTAATGACCAGACTTTAGTATATGAGCTATCGACGTGTGTGACTGGAGTAGCCTGATTCGTACTCATGTGCATTGTTCCGTACATTGACAATGCTCTGGCATGTCAGATGCCGTGGATAGTTATTTTTTGTCATCATTGGGTTTTGAGTGGCAACATGGCGTCGACCAAATTTAAATTTGTGAAAATCAAGCACCTGGATAGACGTGTCGAGTTTTCAAAAACAGTCTTCTTTTCACACCGTGAGAATGTATCACTAGTAGTCTCGTCGTTACCTGATATGTAAACAGTCCAAATGGACTTTCGTGTTGATGATACACACCGCCGTAGCCTCTCTTGGTGCGCAATATTATCTCTGCACAGTCTTTGAATAATACTTCTTTAATGAAGCAATCTATTCCGTATGTGAACAACACTCTCTGTAATATTAAACATAATTGTCCAGAAGTTCAAGTTTGTATTGAAAATCCCTGATTATGCTAAATTCGGAAATTCAATTGGTTATCGACTAAACCGGTTGACTTGAGTTGTAAATGGTGTTGCCAATTGAAGTCAATAATGTTGAACACTTTTATGTCGTTACAGCATTATCGTTATTAACAGCCTTAGTGAAATAATAATATGATTTGCACTGTGAGTGATGCATAAAATATCAAAACATCTGCTTTCTTTAAGCTCTTCCCAGGTCTGAAAATATCATCCCAACGCATGTGAACATTGTACATCGTTTGTCTCGAATGATACAAATTGGACGACAACAATGACTGAAGTCATAATTATCATCCACGTTTGTATTCATCACATATATTTGAACAATTTAAACCTGCAATATTCTGAAACTTGTTACTGTATTCGGAGGTTATATCGAAGCATGATTAGTGTATTATTATAGTTTAGGTACTCTGTCCATGTTATTATGTTCAATTAAAAAATGTACATCGTATAATTGTCATGCACACACATATAGCCTAAACATATTTGTAATTGTGTCTTTTACCATAAATATTAATGATTAGTTGAATGGATGTTCTCCATGGCAACGTTTATCGTATGTGACTCTGGCAATCTTCACAGTCTCGTGTGACCATTGCTCCGATCGAAGTACTTTACATTACAATCTTTTCCACTTCTTTTTCTACCTCATCGAGACACTTACTTTAGATAATGATCCGATATGAGTAACCTAAAAACTTCCTGGGACGAGGTTACTATTACATACATGTACCTGCAGAATCCTGTATGTTTCCGTTTCACGGTGAATACTGAGATTATATTTTGAGTTTCTTGTGGCTGCTTCTGATATTTAATGACATAAATGCTGCCCCAGGGTTGTTGGTGCCAAATGTATCAACAAAATTTATATAAGACAGTATTCGATGGGATTAGGAACAATATTAAGCAGTTGGTTAAGTGACCTCAATTAAGAAGCCAATCGAAGGTAATAGTGTAAGCAGCGTCTTACTAAGAAGGGTATAATGTCTTGTATAAATTCGTCGATTCATTTCACACCACAATTTTAGCTTGTCTTATTGAAAGACTTGTATAACGGCATAATTTCTAGATTAATCACGATTTTTCTATGATTGTGCAATTTTCTAACATTACTTAGTTTATTATATTTTTTACAATAGTAGAAGAGTGCAAAGAATGCCGACATGGCATGAAGCTTTCAGGCGGCATTGATGGGTCCGTGGAGCATTCCCGCTGTTGTCAAATTGTCAATATAGTAGCTGGAATGAGACATAACGACCGGTGTGTATTCTAATGATGCTTTACTTCGCTAATAAGACTAATTACCGGGTGGCTGTTTTATACTTGGTCCGTATCATCGTTGATGCAGGTCAAGGTATATGAGGGGGGGGGGATGTCTGTCCTCGTTGTATTACTGCACTTTTATATTTATATTTTATAATTGTTGCCTTGCAATTAATACATTGGTATTAATTGAGGAAGACAGTCAGTATTTTTCTTTCTTTACTAATATTTTCAGAAACCTTTTTTTTTTGGTTATTTTGCTTGTTATTTGTTATATCATAATTTATTATAAACGTAACATTTGGAAAAGTGGTTTAGTTAAAATAATATAAAATAAAAAGTATACAAACACTTTCAACTGCAGTAATTTTCAGTACGGTTTGTTATTAATATTCTGTGTGATGAATCATTGTCAGTGATTAGAGAACGTCAAGATAAAGAAAATGTATGTCTTCATAAGCACTTTTAAAAAATCCAAATAATGTACTGACGCATTTGTGTGGGAGTGGACACATTAGCGTATAATGGCGAGTGTCGAGTTTTCATTTGTTGCTTCAGTAGCTTGTAGAATTGGGTAGTTTAAATAATAATAAGTATTGGCTTTCGCATATATTTCGTCATCTGCAGACTTTGGGATGTGTGAGACGTTTACTAAAACATTGAGACATAACTATGTTACCAACCTAAACCGTAATAACACATATCTTTGTTCTTACAATTAACATATGTTGTCGGGGGATTACTTCACTGCAAAGATCAGGACATAAATATTGGGAATGGGACTATGAACGCAAAACTTAATGTGTTACCCAAATCTACATTTCGCATCGTTTGTCGCATTCTCATTGTTATGGTCATCATTTCCCACTTTCTGCCCCAAGCTCCTTAAATTTGACATTCAGGCTTATTGTTGCTGGATTTCCGGTTATGTTGAGAACCGGCGAAGCAGTAAAAATAAATGAATGAATAACTGATCGTGACTCCTTTAACAAAGGATAATTACTCTAATGTCGGAAATGATAGCACAGTTGTATGTGAATATCCATTATAATAATCTTTCTGGAGGGCTATTTGTGTTAATAATTAATGTTCAACTGCACTTAGATGACACTGTCGTTTTCATCCTAACTACTGAGACGTCAGTGGTTAATGTTGGTCAGTATTTTGTGTGTTGCTTTGTGACACTCCCAGTTATTGATACAAACGGGAATCATAACTTCTTAGCTATATACTCGCTTCTGTAATTCATGCAATGACGTATGCCTATTCTAATCGTGATATTAATTAACCAAGAATCGCGTTTAGATTCATGAACAATTAAGTCTCTGGGAACACTGGTCGATTCTTGAAATGATGCATCGCAATATTCGACTTGAGACTTAATACTCTTTATTTGAAACATCTAATATCAGCCATAAAGCGGGACGAAAAAACGCTACTTGTGCTGAATTAATAAACATAATTACTATTTATTGTTTTAGAATCACTGAATTGCTTTTGCGGTGTTACAAATGAATATCGAATGCATCATGATCTATATGTTGTAAGTTATAATATGAATTGTAATTTTTTCAGTTGTTTGATCAAAATATACTGGTATACATGTGTACGAACAAGAGAAGTAACATAACCATTTTCGCAAACACATAATACTAATAAATCTGTGGTTAGCAAATTTACAGAAAGTTAAAATTGTAAATGATCGAACATCTAGGAATATTGGAATAAAATAACTAAGCTGTTGGTCAGGTGCATGTAAATAACAATAAAAATAATCTAAACGGAACTATAAAATGTTTATGTAGTCTTTAACAGAAACAAACAAACGCTGTTACCAGGTGCATGACATCCTGAAACAAAAAAAGAGAGACAGAAAAATTAAATTCAAACATGGCGTGTTATTAAAAGTCATCGCTCATTTCACGATTGTAGGGATGAAAACGAAATGACGCTGCAACACATCACAAATAACAATTTCGAAAAATTGACGAAAGTCTACATTGTACTCAACTAGAACATAGAATGGCTGTTTTTTGTATTACAGCCGCGTATATTAATAGTTTGTTTATGCAATCTAAGTTAATATTCTAAGTGTGCAAGAATAATGTGGACAAATTCCTCTCTTTTATTTGCTCAATGGAATTTATATCCTGCTCCCATAGATGGTTCTCACGGGTTCTATTTGCAACGATAAAATGTATCGTTCTTGCCTATTCAGACTACCTCAAAACATATCGATTAATGACGTATCCGGGTTCGATTCCCGGAATCGTCGACCCATGTAAGTGTTGCGTGTTCTCTCCCGTCGTGTATTGACCTGTATTAATTTTTACCACAAATACAATTACCTTTTTAACTAATAATTTGTAATAAGCGTCTTTCACGATGCATTTGTGTCGGCAATATTCTATGACTTTTTACATTACACTATTCTTTTTGTAGTGTAAGGTAAAATTTAGAACTGTTCGATTTTTGTTTTGAAAACTTCTTTATTACATTCATCAGCTGAACAATATAGCTTTGCTAATTAATGTTTAAACTTTTTTCAGGCATTCCCTAAAACAAAATGTAATTATTATTATTTGAGAATTCAAAATGATGGATATTTATTTTGAAACAGCCATTTCTTTTATCTCAAACCTCATTACACCTCATTGTCACTGAAAAATTACAAGAGATACCTTTTAAAAAGTCAAAATGGTAATATAGTATCCGTATTGATTTACACGATCTAAGACCACAGGCCAAGTATTTCCAATATCATAAATACTTTTAAATCATTAAATATATTTGCCTTGTATCGCATACAGGAATGCATATTAAAATAACCTATAACAATATCTTGAACTTTGCTATACAAAGTATTTCTATTGCACATAGAATATTTATTGCTTTCTGTTAAATTATATTGGAAAGCAGATTCAGCTAGATTTATGCTTGGCCTAAAGTTTAGTTTTATAATATAATATTGTATCTAAATTAACCATGTATTATCCAATAGAGTTTCAAGTTCTTCAAGTTGCTACGTTCAATGTACAACGAAATGAACATAACTATTTAAGATACATTTCTAGATATCATTGCATAGAAACATGAGTACCAACTAATAAAAAGATTATTTTACCATATCATGGGGTGCCAAAACTGTTGTGAATGCAGTAAATAAAATACAAATTATTAACATATTCATATTGGAAGCAAAAATAAGCAGCACTTGTCACTTGTACTTTTTGTTATTACAACTGGTATGTTTACAAAACGAAGGAATGTTTGAAGATTTACTTTAAAAAAACAATGTGATCAAGTATCAAAAATAACAGATTCCAAATATATCTTGGTTTAGGGAATGCCCTAGTTTTACAAATTCAGTTCACCTGTTTGTGAGGGGGTCAAATAAAAATCATATTTATACTTCAAATATTTTATTATTCTTCATATAGCTCGGAAACATTAACAATGTGTAAAGAACATCAAAAGCATCGGGGATCTATGTACCCATCTGATAATGCACTTCGGAGATTAGGGACTTACTTTCTTATTTCTCATGTCAGCTTAGTTATCTTCATTTTGGTTGCCAGTTTTTTCGTTGATGTACACTAGAGCATTGCCAATTCTCTCTGAGAAATAAAACAGAAACACAAAGTGATTATACGGCAGTTAGTTGATTGATGCGTACGTGACAAGGCACTTCGAATACAGTTTTTTTCAAGTTCTATTTCATCTACTTCCATTGGATATGCTCTCATGTTCTGTTTGATAAGAGCGTTCTTGCACTTCGCGTAAACTGTGTTTGCATGTCCTTTTGCACGTCTACGGTCACTGAAAGCAATTCCCACGAGCCTTTTCAAATGCCGAAATGGTATAATTTTCACTTTATTGTTGAAAATAGTCATATCCCGCATCCGTTGTAGTACTTCAAATCCTCTTTTTGACATCACCAACATTATCGTCAAATTAACCAAATCAAAATAGGATGCTGGTCTAATAAACCATCATCTCTGTATATAAAACAGTGAAATCTACAATTCAAAAAGACAGACTTTCTTGCACGAAACCTCTAACGATGAGAGACATTTTTTTCTCTTATACACTATCTTTAGTTGTTTAGCATTTATACACGTGTCATTTAGATATACTAGAGCAAATCTTAATGTCTCTTTTACTAATCTACCAAACTACCCAACTCGCCCCCAGTCATATTGCTTACTCGCACAACACGTACATGTATAATCACAACAACGGCTTTATATTTTCTTGTAATAAAAACCCGATTGGGAAGTATGAACATGAGATTTGGGCATACGACATAACTCCCTCGAACTTGGGTTTGTGTATAAATCTGCAAATGTCATCAATACCCATAAGCCACAGATTGAACTAAGAAGGGGGGTTTGTACTCTCATCGCCAGTATGATACATCATGCGATATCTTAGAAGTTGTCTTAAAGGTCTCGCATGTTCATTTAATTAATTAAAGAGCGGACGAAGAGGCCATATCATGTACGCACGTCTCACTCAATTGCAATCTACTTTGAGTGGAATGATAGACGCCAACAGATTAATATTAATGACGCACACCAATTACAGAACTTAATTGGCAACCCCGATTACATGTGAAGATTACACTGTGAAAAAAACAAACAATAATCGAAAAGGAGAAGGTTACACTTGAAGGTTATTTTAAAGTATCAGTTGAAGAACAGCATACGAATGACGGGAGTCGTGTCAACACGATACTACAGTAGAAATCTGATGTTTCTGTTATCACAGCTACAGACGTGTCTTACTACGAGATTCTGAGTGATGTTTTTCAGCTCTATATTGGATATATGTTCAGTGATAGACAGACTGCGTACGATTTGTTATCAATACATTCAACTTGCACAGACTTTGGTTGATAGTAATCAATACAATCTTGGGAGAACGGCCTATGAGAGAAAGTGATCGCGCCTACTACATTATTACATTTATACACGAGATTTCAAATAAATTCTTTCGGCACGAAATATAATGACAACAGAGGAAGTGATTATCTTTCTAATGGTAATGATGGGAAAACTAACGGTTCTTGTATATTGGACAACATTGTACTCATCAATCAATTCTCAGGTCATGTCTTCATGCATTTCATTTACATAAACATCGTTTGATTCGTCTTTCAGATAGACATGTCTGTTATCATGCAGTCAAAAGCTGAATTAATTTGGACTAATCCATACGAATATTTCCAAAAAGAAATCTTACAATCCGGTAAGTAGTAACTATGGCGACGAAATACGTCCAGGGAAAGGTGACATCTATTCACTTTCTCCCAAAACCTGTGAACTGCAAAAAATGTCCGTGCTTTCTTTTCAGCCAGTTTTCAAAAACACTTGACCACACAACCTCGCCACGAATACCATTACTTGTGAATTTGGATATCGTTGGATAGTAATATTTACGCAGAAACTAATTGCTATGATCGTTCTTACAAAACTAAAACGCGACCGACTCCTGGAAAGTACTAAAATATGGAGTTTTCCGTAACATTGAACAGTATTTTGATAACACTGAAATTGAGCAAATTCACGTGCCTTAAAACACTTTTATGTGAATTCATATAACATGTTGACCTTTGCAATTTGTTGCGATTTTCAGTGAAAAATACAATTGACATAAAAATGGGGAGGGGGTCAGTGGTCAATACCGTGCCTCATAAATAGTATAGATCAACTATATACAATACGCTCACTCTGTAACAATCAAGCAAACAATTAAGAAAATGAAAAGACTCTATCCTTTCAATGTTCTATATCTGTCATAGATCTAGTACACGAGGTAACGCTGATATAAGCTTGATGTATTTAATGGTGATTACTGAAGTACAATTTATTAATTAATTATTTATATATATATTCACAAATTACTGCTACTAATGCGAATTGTGAATTTCAATGTTCTTTTAAACCCACTCAAGTCGTATAGTTTTATCGTTTTACTTTAATTATTTATAATCAATTTATATATATTCGTTTTTGTAAAACCTTTTTCGACTAAAGTTTTCTCGTATAATGTTTAAATCATCTGCACAAGGTGCGACGGCACGCGTGTTTCATATGAACTATTGTAAATTTGTGTCCGCTATTGTGTCCGTTGATAAAACTTGAAAATAAGATTTGGCCAGAGAATTAACACGATTTTTCATTAATTACTTTTATAAATGTGTATTTGTCTACTCCGGGAAACGTCAAACTATGCGAGACTAACGCGCGCCAGTAAGAATCATCAACGTCAGTTCATGTTAATTGAACAGGTATTCAGATGACATTGATGTCGGTAACATCATTAACGAGTGACACTTGTGTTGCAAAAGTTAAATACTGAGGTGTTTAATAATTCCTTGATTTAGAATATTTCTAAAAACATAATCAACACAAATTGGAGATATACAAAATTATGATGATTATTTAACTAATAGGATTTTTACAGATGCGTGTATTGTAAAATAACCACAGACCATTATACAACATGTTTGCCTACAGGGTATACAAAAACAATTATATTGTATGTCTATTAGGGTGATTACAATCGATTCGCGCTGCATGTGTCTTGTCAATAATAGCTTATATAAATGGAAACTGTGAAATTGAAGTCCCACGCTGTGCTTTTTACACCTACTGGACATTGTCAGGTGTCATTTTCTTAGCGCCCCCTAATCAAAGGATGTTGTTGGTTATTAAGAAAAGAACATTACATTCCCGTGTGTCCTGAATAATTCTTGGGAATATTTAACCGGATCGGTTTACGCACACCATAAAAAGCCCGGGTGGGAAGTAGAGGATTGGGATTTACACTGAAATTGTGGTTACATGGGTACTTTAAGGCGCAGTTCACAGGGATTCGCCTTCTAAATTTAGGGAAACCTGAATCCATACAATAGTCAGACTCAATTTAAATGTCAATAAATGAAATATATTGGAAATAATTAGTTTTTTTTACTCGTGCAATAATATAGAACGTGTATGCCTACCTTCTAAATCCATTATATAATAAGCTAGTTTACACGCAGTGTTCTTCTGGTTTCCCACACACTCGCGAAGTACCTCGTTCACCTCAGTATCGGGAACAAACGATGGATATGATCTTTTCATACCAAAACAGTACCGACTCAACATTGAATCTGCATCACCAAAACATCTAGTCGTTGACAGGGCCCTTTTTCTGAGCGCTGCGTCTGTTAATTTGCCTGCATTACAGGAGTGTGTGGTGACGAGGATAACAAAAAGCGCACACACCGCAGCCAAGGTGATTTGATTCATAGCTATAGTATGTATCCTTAGGTGTTTCGTTCTGTGTGAAAAAATAAGGAGTGGGTCATTAAGCAAGACGCTTGTGATATCATTACAGTAGAATCAATTATTAGTTAACATACTGTGTGTGTCTGAAATATTGATTTAAATTATACCCAGTAAATCACCTGTTAAACATCGTATGTTACTTATTGAGATTACTCTTTAAATGTGTACTTATTATGTCGAATGAATCTTTTAATATAGCGCTTAAAATATTTTCTCATGCAAATATGTTAAAAGCATTAATCTTGTGAAGCGATTTGATTTATAAAATGTTTATCACTTTTTTTAAAAGTCGCTTATAGCCTCACACGAATACCATACACGAAGTTGATTCTGTCTTAATACTTGATACACTACAAGGGTTCTCTCATTCGAAGTAAACTGTATTATTCGTTGTCGGTAGGGGAAGCGATACCCGCCGTAAGATGACGTGAGAATATGCATATTTAGTTGACATAAGGGACAGTATAAGGAATAATATTTTCGTTCTGCAATACGCACAGTTATTATAGGGCATTACCAAATGCAAATGTAAGTGCCACGGAACTTGTTTGTTGGCAAGTAAGAGTTTTGGCGCAGATAACCTAATGCCAGTTAGACAAATGTTTTACAATGAATACAAACCTTAGTCTAGTGCATGAAGAGCAGAATACTGTCAAATGAAGGAAGAAAATGAACTATCTTACCTGGTGACGTTGAAGTCGTACTCAATATCACTGTCAGTTCGTAGAGTGAGAGGAATATTGCTGCATCTTCACTTATATGCGTTGTTCATTTGGATGCACATTACTTATTCCTCCAATTAGGATGCAGGATTCTGTCTCCGACGCCCCCGTCCCTCTGCCCACAGTAGAGCGCGCTCCGACTCACAAAGGCAGCTAACGATCCATCCATTTGGGATTTGAATAGGCGATACGCAATTTTTGTCATCCCTAGAAGTCAATATGTAGTAAATAGATATTGATTCAGCACGTTGAGTTCGCCCATTCTCAGATCGTGTACATTTTGCAAGGTGGTGCGGTAAACAGGAAAGGATCGTTCCCCAAACGCTAGCATCAGTGACGTAAAACAAAAATATTTTTTTTTAATCGAATTTGTCTGGTAAGTTCCAGTCAGAATGTGATTATCATACCCATAGTTACATAATTAAATGTTTTAACGGGATTTGTAGATCAATATATTGATCTTCAATATTATTTATGTATTTATTTGCTTGTTTAATGCTAATTACAAGTTGTTAACGTAATGCAAGATTCTGGCATGCGTGCTCAGTTTCCATAACACTCCCATGCATTTCTATCCATGAAACTAGAGTTTAATAACAGGAAATATTTTAATCTACACATTCCGCCCTTGAATACATCGTGATAAATAACTATTAGAAATGTCGTCAGATGGCGGGGTTTCAGTCGACGAGACATGAAGATTCTTGTATTTACGCATCGTCATTTTAACATTTGCGAGAGAACGATGAGAATCGTAAGCTATGCATTTCAATACATCACACGCTGGGACGGAAAGAGTGTGTTCTCTTTTATGTTGAACCGTACAAATCGATTGAATGTTTTCGTCGGTTCACACGAGAAACAAAAAAAAACTTCGATCTCCCGAGACTTGAGATTACATGGCTGATTCGTTTCCGTCATGTATTATTTGGCGTGACTGGCGGTAACGAAATAATGTGCTGTTATTTTCTAATAATGTTGTTGAATACTGGTCGATGCTCACAATTATGACAGATGATGTCAATAGAAACATTAGATAAGGTATGAAGAAATTGTTTTTAAACACGATGTTAAATGCAGTTATTTCAAAAAAGACACGTTGCATCTTTATGCAAATCCAATATTTTAAAGTTCACCTCCAAATTCACCCTTTTGCGCGCCAGGCCTAACCCACGCACCGAGACTCACAGAAACAATTTAAAACAACTGCGAAATGCCATTGATTTATATAAACTTTCACATTTAGGCACTAATTATGCTCGAAGTGTTATAATTAATGGATCAATTAGATAGCGATCATTGTCATGGCGTCGGCCATTTCTAATATCCACATTAACTTCCGTCACTAAGGTTTTGTTAATATCGCGTTAAACGTTGTTTGGTGCACCTTATTTGATACTAAATGAATATCCGATTTCCTTTCTTCGAGTGACAGTCAATCTAACGGTCTGAAATTACCTTTATTCTCTAGGCATTTTACGGAAAAGTGATGATAACCTAACCTTAAATTTCACCAACTAATCATGAAATGCTCGTCATCAGCAAGTGACCGCATCCACGTTGATAGTACGTACCCAAATGCATTCTAAGTGATAAAGTACGATAGATATACATAGATCGTGTTTGTGGATTGAGATTGAATACGAATAAAATTATTATAAATCCGAAGTTGGACGACAAACCAATACCAAACGTAAGGTTAGTAAACATGTCTTGCCTGTACAAACGAATCGAGAAGAGGTCGAATGCCATAGTCAGTGAGCTTTCTGGGAGTTGGGAAGAAGAAAACCAACTCTGCACAATCTGAGATCGACTAAGTAAGTGTTGGAAATATCATATTATGAAATAATATATTATATCCACTGTTGAATTCACGTAAAGCAGGACACTCTTGCGAAACAGCTAACGGAGAATTTAAATGCTAGCAGAATTGTCCTCAGTACCATGATATAAAATTATGTATAATCACGTATGAAACCAAGTTGCTCATGTACACGCACGCTAATTCGATGTACGCTTGTTATATTGAATTAAAGAAACATAGTAATAGAAAGGAAAATAACCAGTTCATATATTTAATAAATAACATATACCAAACGTGGAAACAAAATAAGGCTGCCAAAGGATGGAGTCATCGCCTGTAATTGCTGTCCAATTAGCGTCAGGCCCCCTTATTGTGCGTATAAGCTAAATGTTTTCATCATCCTTCGTTGTTGCTCCTTCACTCGCGGCTCTCTGCGGCTCTCACTAAATATAACACACAATGATAGTATCGACATTGTCTGTTTAGGCATATGTCCAACGTACGCCAGTGTGAAGAAATCAACTGTGTGTGTATACGACGACAAATAGAGAACGAACTACGACCGCTCCCCCCATAGCGTCACCATGACAACGCTTTTGATGTGCATATATAGCTCAGAGGCAGTTTTATCTTCTTCTTTATTCCATACATTTGAGGATGGTGAATAATTTACCGGGAGAATTGAACTATTGTACTGAAACGTACACATCTATGTAGATTAAGATGATCAGTACTACAGACTTTCTGCAGGGCAGTCTCGTTTTCACTCTGCCTGCGTCATTTTACTTTCCCTTTTGGATATTTTACTCTAATGACGCAGTAGTAGGTATAAAGTGGCATTCATGCTAGCATAGTAATATGAAGATGGTATGTTTGATACAACAAATGACAGGCCAAGTCAACGCATCAAAAATATATATATAACACAAAAGAAAACCCCCGCCCTCGTACTGCGTATATCCGGTATTTTAATGCTCTAGGTGGTTAATAGTCGTGCCCGCTCGAAAAGCATTACGCGATGATGCCACTCTCACTAGTACGCGCAACGCCATGATTTACAGCTAGGTCAACATGTGACTGTTGAGAACCACGCCCCTTGTGTATGTATCATCGGTGTATGTTTATTAGTCTGTTTTGCCAGTACATGTATTTTAGAGTGTTGAAAAATGAAAAAAAAACACTTATAATGTGCAAGTTAAAATCTAAAGTTGAATCCTCAACAAATACTCTTTCCAAGTGTCGTTAATCATCCTGCGTGTACCAAGGCATAGATATGACAACGTAAATGAAACGTAGACTCCTGTGACCATATTAATAAGTGTATCGGCAGTTCATTTATTTAACTGCGGATTACTGTTTTTTAATGTCTTCAAATTTTATCAATAATTACTGTATACGTGATATTTTATTGAAGGCGTGTAAGCATATGGATTTCAAGCTCCGTTGGACGCGTATAATGTTTTGAGAAGTTTATCCGGTTGTGACATTGTAACGAACACGTGAATGGGTCATTAGAAATCCAAATGGATGGGATGTTTGATAGTTTTTTGTTTTGTTTTTATTATTCACCGTTGCGCGTTATTTTTGTTTCTTCTCTACTATAACTTGTTTTATGCGTATAATAATCGTAATTTATATTTGCAATATCATTTTTGTTTTGTTATCTTTGCGAAGAACGTGTTTATTGATAGCCTGTCATAAAAAAAGAATATAAATTCGGAATCAAATTGCATAAAATGGTGTTTGTGTTTTCAGTAATTACTTAGACACAGTAGTTTTAAATATTCATCTAGAAATGGGAAATTTGTAGTAACAATGCGGCAAATCCATAGGGAGCCTGATGAACGTCTCCAGGGAATACGATCTACCCTAATTTCTTCGATGCGTGGTAACTCACTCGTAACGACACAGTCGCATATATTGACATATGGAAAAAAGCAAGCAGAGCGTTAGTACATTTCCAGGAGGTGACATACTTACTACGGCATCAACTACTTATCGATATTATGAAACGTGAGAGGGGTTGTTGGGAAACGTAATTACTTGGCATATTAGAAGTAAGTTAGTAGTTCTGAAAATCTTCAGAAGACGGCGAAACCGGTATATATTAAACACGTCAGATATGGTCAATAATGTTATATATCGTTGATACACAAAACTGCGAAAGTAGTGACGTAGATCGGTAACCGCCCAGTCGCACCTCCACCCTCGTGTCGAGATAAATTGGTTTTGGAACTCTGGTAATTATTACGTCATAACGAGTGTGAATGTTAATATTCTACGTTTTTATTAGCCTTGATAACTGACAGAATTGTTCAAAATAGTATTTCCAAAAAGAATCCTTCAGCAATAATATATTTAGATAAAACAACTCCGATTGCCGTGTTATATTCTGTGAATCGCTCGGGCAAAAAGATTAAGCTGTCTTATTTTTACGCTTGTGTTATCAACTCCGGTGACAGTCATTTCGCTGTCTCGGGGTCATTGTATGCGGATGTGATAAGTTACAAGTACTGTTATACGTAGAACGACTTACACTGAAGCAAATAAAACATTTATTTTTAGAACCTCTCCATTTTTATTTGAAGTTCAATATCATCTATAATCCCATGCGACATGAAGGAGCTTTCTCCAAACGAAAAGGGAATCCGTGAGCTTGCATGTGTAATTCAAGGAGGATCTTTATATTACAATATTGTTTTGAATGGCATGTGTCCGGCACACAAGGGGTTAGAGTGATTGACATACAAGCGTAAACACAATAATGATGTCAACTCGTTATACTATAATAATATTATATGAAGATTTAAATTAGAGTTTTCCGTAGCATATGTACTTCTCCTTTATCTAAAGTGTTACGTGGGGAGTACGCGCGGCAGATACGATACTACCTATCAATTTGGCTGTCAAGCTTCGTGGCGTCCTTGGTGAAAGCGATTCGTCGAATCAGTTCTCTTCTGAAAACGTTCAAAGCCCAAGCCGCTATGATGCACTTGATTAGTTTTCTTGATTATTAAAAAAAAAGCATCCATGATGCAATGCGATGTCTGATAACTCCAAGCCAGGTTTTTGCTTTCGACATTGATGTCGCGAATGAAGAGTAATTGTACATATTGTATTACATGTATACATTTCACCCAGTCCGGAAATAAGCCCCACTGTCGGCTATGTTTATTTCATCGCTTCAG